CATGATCCTCACCCTTCAGATGCTTAAATAGCAATCATATTTATCTGTGAACTTTCCAAGATTAATTTTTACAAAGAAGGCGCTCATAAAGTTTAATACACATGCCAATCCTTACAACATCCAGAAATAAAAGCATATTATACTTAATGCATATTAAATAAATGTGACAAAGGCCACATGTGATTTACTGTCCTCATTGGAAGAATGGAGGCTGGAAGGGAGTGCTGAGGAGGGTATCGGGACTTAAGTAAGGGAGGAAGGAAAAGGCAAAACATAGGAAAAGAGAACAAAACCTTAGAGAGGGGAGGGGAAGGGAGATGGGCAGATTTCAAGGTGGCTGGCTTAATGTGTGACTGACAGAGCTTCCCTGCCATCCAGTCCCCTTAACTGTCCCCCACCCCTTTTAAATTAATTTCTAGTTAGTATGCAAGTGTATTAGTCACCTTTCTGTTGCTGTGATAGAAACACTGACCAAAGCAACTTATACAAGGAAGAATTTATTTGAGCTTATGGTTCCAAAGGGGCAAGAGTCCATCATGGCTGGCGGAGGAGAGGAAGCTAAGCTCTCACATCTTCAAGCAGGCACCGGAAACAAAAGAGCAACTCCAGATCCAGCAGGGCTTAAGAACTCTCTAAGCCCACCCCCGGTGACATGCTTCCTCCAGCAAGGCCACACCTTGTAAGACCTCCCAAAACAGCGCCACCACCTGAGGACAAAATGTCCAAATACTTGGAGCCTATGTGGGACATTCTCATTCAAACCACCACAGCGAGTATGTGTTTTATTATGGCATCTTCATACATTGATGTCACATTTTGCTGCCCTTTGACCATCAATCCCCCTCATCACTGTTTATGTTTTTTAAGATTTATTTATTTACTTTTGTGTGTGTGTGTGTGTGTGTCTGTGGGGGGGTGCACATGCCTGTACACGTGTGGAGACCAGAACAGGGCCTTGTGGTTCCTCTTTATCATTCTCTGTCCATTCCTTTGAAATGGGGTCTCTTCTTGATCATGGCAACCTGAGCCAGGCTGGTATAGGTGTGTACAGAATGCCTGCTTGTTACATGGGTACCTGAATCTGAACTCCAGTCCTCCTTGACCAGGCAGCAAGTGTGTGTGACAACTGAGCCATCAAGCTCCTAATGGAATAATTGAAGCAATTTATTATGTAGAAGTTTTCCCCAGTGATAAGGCAAAATGCATCACAGAAATACCACTTTTCTAACGGATGAAATCTATCTTCATCTATATTTTAATTTATTGCAGTGAAACTCAGGTATAAGTGGTTATGAGTCATCATCTTTAGAAAGTGACTTTTGTCAAAGTTTGATTTTTCATACAAGATTTTTTTTGTTGTGTAGTATTTTATTGGGGATTATCTTTCTTTTGTTGTTAACCTTTTATGTCTTCTGCTTTTTCCATCTTCTGTGATCTCACATTTCTAGCGAACAGAGATAGGAGCTCAGCTGTTGAAGCTGTTTCCTACTCAGGGAGAAGCAGCCTTGTGTTTGAAATGTAGCCTCATCTGCAGATGCTTGGGGAAGGTCTGATGGCTCTGATGGCTAAACTTTTGAAGATTGGTTTCTCCTGCCCCATGCATCTCACTCCTTCCTAATACCTGAATTTTCACCAAAATTAGTATTTTGAAGGGTGGCAGAAGACCTTCCTGACGATCCTGCTGAGCTTTAGAAAGTCAGATAGAGCTGACAGTTTGTAGAAAATGATGAGCCTGCTGTGCTTTAGAAAGTCAGATAGAGCCGACAGTTTGTAGAAAATGAATGGAATTCAGGTGGAGGAACAGTTTAGGAAAAAGTAAAACATCTCTTGGGAAAAGGAAGGTAGGTTGTCTCCTGGGCCTTTTAATTTTAATCTATTTATTTTTACAGGCGCGGGCGTTTCCTCATGTATTTGTTTCTCTTATCGTTTTTGTTCCTCTTCTCTTTTTGTTTTATGTGTTTGTTTTTCACAGTTCCAGTGCAGTTAGAGCTGTCTGTTTGGCATTGGCATTTGTAACCACTCAGGGCAGCCCCGCTCCTCCAGCAAAAGGGGGTAACGGAATTCCCGTACGTCTGCTACTGTCCCTGCCATCGCCTTCACGAGAGTTAGTCTTAGAAAACAGAAGCTTTGTGGTAGAACTTTATCCATTATGGATGTATAGCACTTTGGGGCACACGGTAGGTAAGGGCCTATGAAAACGAGTACCTGAAATCCTCAAGGAATGAGGCTGTTCAGGCAAGCATGTCTGCCTGTCACTGTGGACCAGGAAATGTGCAGACTACAGCTTGCCCATGTCCCAATGTATGTCCATCATTGGAGGCTGCAGCCTTGAGCTTCCCCAGTGAGTTGACAGGAAGCCTGGCCTGGCAGGAACTGCTTGCTCTGTGAGACTTCCTGGGATCACAAATGTGTGGCTTTTCCTTTACTATGCAGTGGCTTCTATGTGGTGACAGTGTGAGGAATCACCACTCACTAGAAAGAAATGCTGATAATTTCACAATGTCCAAACTCTGCCAAGAAGATTCATAGCAGATCTGGCACATTTTTGGTTTGAACTGGCTGGGGAGGATGCTTAAGGCCTGGAGTATCACAGGTACCTACCCTCTCCTGAGTGCCTTGGATTTCAGCAGGCCACTGTTACCCAGAGCGTTTTAACAGCTTTGATCTTAGAGACATTGGCTGTTATTCCCATTGTTTCTGATCTAGTGTTACAGCTGCTTCCTCTCTGTGTGACATAATTTGGAGTTACAGCCCGCCAGGGGGCTGTTGGTCTCCACCTTTGCAGTTTAGGAGCAGACTGCTGTTTACTCCAGTGATGTTATTTCCACTCCTGTTTGGGGTGATTTTCCCTTATGCATTCATCTAACAACAGAAAGACGCTGTGGGAGGAACTTGCTTTGTTTACATAAGGCATACGTGGAGCCATTTGGGTAGAAAAATTATAAATTTAAATTCTGTTCATTTAAAAATATTCACATTGTGCTGCTGAAATGCCAGTAGCTGGAAAATCATGGATGATGTCCTGTTTTAATAACCTCTTTGAGAATGTTTTAAAGTCTGTTTATGTTATGTGGCCATCTCTTTTCCTGAAGGTTATTATTACTATTATTATTTTAAAGGGGGTTGTATGAGCTGGGCATGAAAGCTCTTGCATGTAATCTGAGTACTCTGAGAGGCTAAAACAGGAAGATAACCATAAGTTTGAGGTCAGCCTGGGCTACAGAGTGAGTTCCAGGCCAGTATATGCTACTTGAGATCCTGTCTCAACAAAAGGGCCACAGATGGGTTATATGAGTACAGTTATGTGATGGCATACATAACTTTGAAACCAAGATGACAGCATTAACTGTAATATTTTTAAAGAGTATCTTTTATTTCGTTTGTGACTGTTTCATATGTACATACAGTATAGCTTGATCATACTCACCCCCAATTTCTCTTCTCCCCACCAGGCCTCCTAACATGTCTGCCTCCTACTGTCATGATCTCTGTGTCTTTGTCCCTGTCTCTGTCTCTCTCTCTCTCTTCTGGTAATCCAGTGAATCCAATATAATGCTGCCTGTTGGAATGCTGGCTCATGTTTTGGCCTGGCCTTCTACTGGTCAACAGCCCGTGCGTTTCCAAGTGCAGTGACATGTCATGTCCAGAAGGTGGCCTGTCTGAGCACTCCCCTCAGCCTCAGCTCTTCCCTTCCTTCCACCCCATCTTCTGAGATGCCTGGGGGTAGGGAGGTTGGTGCAGTACTTCTTTTTGGATCTTTCTGAGATAGGGTCTCCCTGTAGACCAAGCTGGCCTGGAGCTTGCTATGTGGACCAGGCTGGCCCATCTCACAGAGATCTGCCTCCTGAGTGCTGGGATTAATGGCATGCACCACCATGCCCGGTCACTTCGGCCATTCTTACTTGTACTATGGGATCCAAAAGTATTTTCTCCTGGTTTTTAGAGGGATATGATTATAAACTGTAAATTTTTGTGTATTATTATTATTATTATACTTTTAGAGAAAGGTCTCACTCTGTAGCCCAAACTAGGCTGGGGCTCATTCTAAATCTTTTCTTAAAAAAATTTGTGTATGAGTGTATTGCCTGCATACATGTATGTGCACTCCTGTCATGTAATGCCCACAGAGGTCAGAAGACAGCATTGGATCCCCTTGAACTGGAGTTACTGATGGTTGTGAGCTGCCATGTGGGTGCTGGGAACCAAGCCAGGCACTCTGCAAGAGCAGCCAGTGCTCTTAACCACTGAGTCCTCTTTATGTCCACCTGGTCTTGCACTTGTGGGATTTCTATGTCTCAACTTCCTGAGTGCTGTGTTACTGGCTTATACTATGAGACCTAATTCAAGCTATTACATTTGAAAATGTGATTGTTATAACAGTAAAAAATATAAATACACTTTCCTAGGACTGATAACATGCAAGATTGTTTTCTCACTCGGCCTTGTGGTTTGTGCAGCAACAGTTTTTCTAAAGATTGTGATAAAATGAGCATGATTTTTAATTGAATGGAGACAGAATGGTCGCCACAGGAAACAGGTTCCTTATAATTAATAATTTTGAATTAATTCTTAACTACACGACATTTTTCCTTGGGTTGGTGACAAACTGATAGTGAGGTTACTGCGGACAGTCCTGTTCTGTGGAGGGACTGTTTTCCTCCCAGGGCTTATGGTGCTCAATAAGTATTCTCTGAGGTGGGGCTGAAGCTGCAGCTTCCGTCAGAGTCCTCTGGAGGAAGCACCATTGAACTGATTGGTTGTGAATGTTAATCACTCTGTTGGACACACTGCTAATTTATGGCATTGCTGAAGCTCTCTGGTGTTCATAAAATGAACTTAACCCATTGCCACAGAGGGATAAGCTGCTTTCTCTGTACAGCTGAATGCCCAGACTGCCTGGCTAGCAGTGTTGAGAAATACTGCGTTCAGAAAGGTGAGCAGCTGCATGGGGGAGGAAGTGGCTGTGCCATAGATTTCTAACTGTCCCCTTCACTTCACAGAGGGTGTTTGTGAGATATGGCTGACCAGCGAAGACACTGGGGCCTATGGCAGAGACATTGGCACGGATCTCCCCACACTCCTGTGGAAGCTGGTGGAAGTGATTCCTGAGGGAGCTATGCTGAGGCTGGGCATGACAAACCCACCATATATTTTAGAACATCTGGAGGTAAGGAAAGCCCCCCCTCATGTGCTGACACACTCTCCAGCCGACCATGCGGCACTTCAGGATCATCCCAGGAGCTTTGTTTCCAACCACTTTGACAAGTATCCTATGTTACCAAGACAGAATGAGGCTTGCACATCTCCTCTCTTATTCTGTCCCCTTGTTTTTACCTCTTTCTCATTTTATTTTATTTTATATTTAAAAATTTTATGTGTATGTGTTTCGCTTACTTGTATGTAAATGTACTATATGTATACAGTGCCCAAGGAGGCCAGAAGAGGGCATTGGATCCCCTGGAACTGGAGTCATGAATGGTTCTTAGCCACTATGTGGGAGCTGGGAACCAAACCCAAGTTCTCTGCAAGAGCAGAGCTCTTAAGTGCTGAGCCATCTCTCCAGCCACATCATCATTAGTTTCTGAAAATTTTACTTTATTCTATTTTATGAATTTATTTTTTGAGATAGGGTATCACTATTTAGCCTGGCTGGCCTGGAATTTTCTGTGTAGATGAGGCTAGCCTCAAACTCACAGAGACCTGCCTGCTTCTGCCTCCTGAGTGTTGAAAGTTAAAGGCAAGCACAACCATGCCTGGAATTTTATTTTTACATATGTGTATGTTTTTGTGTGTGTGTTTGTGTATGCCACTTGTGTGCAGGTACCTAAGGAGGTCAGAAGAAGGCATTGGATCCCTGAGAGCTGCAGTTATTGGGAGTTGTGAATCTAGGGACTAAACTTGGGTCCCCTTAGCAGCAAGAGCATTTAAACTCTGATCTGTCTCTCCAGTCTTGTCCTCTCAGTCAGTCGGTCAGTCAGTCAGTCAGTCAGTCAGTCAGTCAGTCAGTCAGTCAGTCAGTCAGTCAGTCAGTCAGTCAGTCAGCCAGCCAGCCAGTCAGCCAGCCAGCTAGCCAGTCAGCCAGCCAGCTAGCCAGTCAGTCAGTCAGTCAGTCAGTCAGCCAGTCAGTCAGTCAGTCAGCCAGTCAGTCAATCATTTTTGTGTATAAGTGTTCGCCTGCATGTATGTAAGTGCACCATGTGTGTGGAATGCCAGAGAAGGACATAAAAATGTGTTGGAGTCCATGGAACAGGAGTTACAGATTGTTGTTAGCTGCCATGTGGGTGCTGGGACCTGAACCTGGGTCTTTTCAAGAGCAGCCAGTGCTCCTAACCACTGAGCCATCTCTCCAGCCCCATCCAGTCCCTTTTTTAATATTGCTTAAATGCTCAGTTCTTCTCACCTTGTCAGGGTTTTTTACTGTCTTCTTCATGGTCCATTGGTTTCTCAACATATAAATTTTGTTCCCATTTGAGAATTGCGAATATGTTGCATGAATTTTGTAACCAACAGTCAATATTTATCCAAACTGCTTTAACTCTCTGAGGATTATGCCTCTTAAGTGTGAAGATGATGTCTCTTACTCTAGAGGTAGTTAGGGGCGAAGTAGAACCAAAGGTATACAGAGCTTAGAACTCTTCCCTGGATTTGTCTGTGGTCCCTGTGAACCATGGAGGGGAAAGGTCCTGAGGCCTTGGGTGTATCTACACATCAGATCCTGGCCCCAACTAGAAAAAAAAGGACATGTCTCTGAGGAGAAAATGCAACTATTTCCATGAAAAAGAACATTCCAGCATCCATGGTTATTATCAGAGAAGTAATTGCTGCAGATACAGAGTTTTGGACTTCAAATCTAAGTGCTGTTCAACAGTCACATGTAAGGTGTGAAACAAGTCTATTTTCCATCAAGGGTTGTCCTCTTTGTGCCTCACTGGGGCAGAAAAATGATGCTCTGAAAGCAAATGTAGTTTCTAAATAAATATTTAAACATTTCAAATTGATTTGGCGCGATGGCTCAGCAGTTAGGAGCTCTTGCAGCTCTTGCAGAGGACCTGAGTTCTGTCCCAGCATGCATATTGGGCAGATCACAATACCTGTGGCTCCAGTTCCAGGGCATCCAGCGCTCTCTTCTGGCCTCCACAGGCACTCCTCCCTCCACATTCATGCTGCATATACTGACACAGACACATAAGTAAAAATAAATCTATGAAAATTGTTTTCGTTGATTGGATTTTCGGGCCAGTCAAGCTGTGTTGGACAGCCCCCTGAGCACCGTACCTTAGGAATCCTCCCAGCTATCAGCAGCGACTGGTGGTTGTGCATGTGACGGAGCCCTGCAGCAGCTTCTGTTTTGTTCTCCTGTGTTCCTCACGCCATCTTTCTGTAACGCTGTATGATTTGCTGCTAAAATTGGGCACTTCATTCAGTGTCAGCTGATTATGAGTTGCTATTTTAAAATGAGTCACAAGCATATCAACTTTCACTTAACACTTTGACTCAACACTTGAAAAGTGAATGATTTCCGTTAAAATCAGCTGTGGCAGTCTGGCTGTGTTTGCAGTAAATGTGAGGTGAGGCCTGCAACCTGAAGGCTCGATGATGCGCCAGTGCAGTAGATGGGTCTTCTCTAGGAGGGGAATTGGAATCCACTCCTATGCAGTTGATGACGGCGTGCCAGTTCCATGGATTGGAAGGAAAAGTTGGTCTGAAACCTGAAGACCTGAGGTAGTTTAAGCTAGGGAAGTTCAGACAGGGAGGGAGTAAACACAGGAAAACGTGCACAGTTGCTCCAAGGTGATGAACCAAACCCTTCTTGGAGTGAGTCCAGCATTTTAATTGATGGCGAGATTGTGGCAGCAGATGCTGCCTTCTAAGAACGTCTTAGTGCTGTCCAACTAAAGTGGTGGATGAGTTGTTGGCCTCCCAGAAGATGTTCTGTCAGACATCAGGGGAATTAACAGAGGATGTCCAATGTAACTTTCTTCCCTATGCGGAATGACATATTTAGTTCAGAGATCGTAAAGGTGAGAGCAAACTCTCGTTCTTTCAAAATTTTGTTTTGTTGTTAATGTCTGTCATTCTTGGGGGGCAGGTGTCTTGTGCATGCTGGGCAAGCACTCTACAACTCAGCCTGCTGCATCCCAACTCCTAATGATAACAGGTTCTGTCAGGACATTATATCCTTTTATTCCTCACTTTAAAATTCATCTCTGTTGATGGACACCTAAGTTGATTCCATATATAGTGAATTCACAACAGTGGTTGTGACTAGCACAGCAATAGATAAGGATCTGAAAGTATGTCTGTGGCACGCCAATACAGAATGGTGTCTCCAAATCGTGTGGAAGTTCTGTTTGTAGTTTTTGAGGACTCTCCACCAGCAGAACACATGGGCTCCTTTTTCTCCAAGTCCTCACTAGCATTTAGTACCGTTTGTCTTTTTGATGCTAACCGTTTGGCAGGGACAGGATTGATCTATGACTATGATCCTTTGACCATCCAGTCCCCACTGAGTGCTGGTCTTTACAATGTCCACATGTTCCTATTCTTTGAGATTTCCAGATGCCTTAAGTGAGATCTCAGAATACATTAACTGGGCAAGCGGCATTGGGAAATGGGGCCTTGCATGCTGGCTCAGTCTCACTCATCAGAGCTTCTGGTGCGGTGCCCTGTGAGGGACTGCCCCCAGGTCTGTGCTGCCCTCTGCTCAGGCTTCACCCCTTCACTTCTGCAATGTGGCCTCACCCACGTTGAGTCTTTTCGAATTTTAGGTTAGCACACAAAGTAGTGGTTTCATTGTGGCATCCTATGGGGTTTTAGCCAGTTATAATAAAAAGAATGAAATTACATCATTTGAAAGAAAATGGATGGAACTGAAGGATCTCATGTTTAAAAAAAAAAGTCAGATCTAGAATGGCCCATATGGAATTTGGAATAAATGGTGCTTGGGAGAGGAAGGTGGTCTTGGAGGGAAGGCTTCTGGGAACGAGGATGGGGCAGGTGCGAGGGAAGGACTGTGAATGAAGGGTGTTGGTGTTCATGAACACTGAAATGTTGTGTGTTTTCTCATACAAACTAGGTTAAAATGCGAACAATGCATCTATTTGGTCTTTCCCCATTTACTGTCCTCCCCTTGAGGCAAGAACCTTATTACAACATCTTATTAAACTGCCTTAGACAACAGTGGTCCATAAATAAGTATAAAAGAATGAATGAAGGGAGAGAGTTCTTCCTAAAACAAATTGTATAATGTTCACCGTATAATCATAGGCATCAGAGTGTAGCGCTGACCAGGAGAATCAGCAAAGGGTGGGGACATAAATCGGCTTCAAGGATGAGAGGACCCCCACAGTAAGGCAGTTTCATGTGTACTTTACAAATGGAGTGTGCTGCAGGCTAAGGTATCACACCCATGACTAGGCCATCCAAAACAGCACAAGCTTACAAAGCATGTTTGGAAGTAAGCTCTTACAGACTCAGTCCTTTGACAAGACCAGCACACCTTGATGGCACTTATTCTCCTCTGGTGCGCATCCATCTGTGGTTGACAGAGACATGTCCTGTGTGATGCAGAAGGTATCCAGGGTCCTTTCAGAAGGGAGCTCAACTCAAGATGCTGACCCTCGTGCCCAGCAATACATTGTCCGACTCAATTTCCCTCTCTCAGCTTAGTCCACTTGACAGAAATTACTTCCCAAGAACTGCTGAGCTGAACTCACCAAGAGGAAAGAGAAAAGGGGTGGGGCGCAGAGGGTGGCCAGGCGATGAAAACATAAAGAAACAGCCGTACAAAGTGGTGGGTTTCTTTCAAACTGCAAGGGATAAAGGGAACCGGCTCTTGAGGTAACCATGAGTCTTAACACCCTCTGAGTGCAGATTTCTTGAGAATGTTAAGGGTGCAACTTGGGCTTCTTGAGTTTCTGGAAGATGCTTCACACCCCAGACTTTAATTACAGAGCTCCCAGCAGGCTTCTGCCTTTGTGCTCTCTCCACAATAACCTGACTTTTCAGAGTTTTCAAAACACTCTTAGAGTCAATCTCTACCCTCACTTTTTCTCTGAACAGTTTAAAGGGAAATTTACTTAGAGCACCCCAAAGTTCCTCCTGCTTTTTAAAAAATTATTTATTTATCAACCACGTAATTAGAAGAAGCATTTCCTTATAACAGCG